GTGTCCGTTAGTGGTCTTTATATTTTAAAGTGAGATGGACCTTTTGATGAAGGCCGATTTCAAAATGGCTCCGAATGTTTATAACGAGTAGTGGAGTGAGGATACTCAGTTACTGTTTACTTCATTCTCAACCAATAGATTTTTGGTGCTGGATAGGAGAGATGCATTTGGGTCTTGTGTTACGGTATTCTATGAGCCTGAGTTTTTTTGTAAGTAAGATTAGCCGTGTCGAGAGTGAACTGCTTTTTTTAGTTTGAAGCAGTTCGGCTGAAGTCACTGGTTCAGAAATAGAACAGTTAAGACTCCATTATTTGATAGCAGTTGAGTGTGGATGTTTGTGGTGTATGGTTGAAGCTTTTTATTTGAACATTTGAAGTAAAAACAAACAGCCAAACGGTGGTTCTTTACCAAGATTAGCACTTTGGTTTTTCCACAGTTCATTTCTTGCGCTGAGGCCATGTCAGTTAAAAGAAAGGATTCAAGATTGAGGCGGTTTTATTGTGTCAGGAACTCTGGAGTATTTCGTTCCATTTATCATTCGTTGTCTCTGCGCTTTTCCCTGGCATCGTATTCGACGATGGCTACGATATTCTGCTATTTTGCTTTTAAATATTCTGTTCTAATTTTTTTAATTTTAAAAATTTTTTAATTACAAATTTAAGAACTCCAGCTTGCTGGTTTTTTATTTGACTCATATGTTTGAACAATTCCAACTCTTACTTAATCCTCTCATTAGTTGCATAAGTAGGTTTCTGGTCGAGGAATAAGGAGAAAGAAAAAAGAAAAGTAAATTCTGCAGTTGGTACATTTATTGTGTCGTTTTTTTTACATTTTACCAATTCTACTATGAACTTTGATTTTCAACTTTTCCTGTTCTTGGACGAGATTTGTTTTACATACTCTCATCTGTATCCCTCAGTTTTTTTTCTTTATCAGTACTAATTACCATCTTTCCCTACTATTATTTTTGCATTTGGAGATTGCTTCTAGGGATTGTAATTGGGAAGGTGTTTAAAGATCTCTAGAGAAACAGCCGTGTTTTTCGTTATAACAAATTATTTCTAGTGTTAGCATCATTGGAGATACTTTGAAATTTGTTCAACGAAAATTAAAAGGATATTTGAATACCCACTAATTTTGTTTGAAATTAGCGAGCTGCAGAAAAAAGGGAACTTAGAGAACAAAAACAAGATGCTGAAAAAGTTGGTTTTGAAGTAGGATGTTTCAACAGTTTCAAAGGAAAACAGTTTTTCTTGCAGTCCCTTAACCAGCTAGAGCAATTGCTCACACTTATTTTAAACTACCTGCTCTTTGTTTTCAGGATAAGAAGCGTCTTAGGCTTAAATTGCAATCATGTTTATTTATCGCATAACGCATCACTGCAGATGCATCAAATTTTATGGAGGCATTAGTGCTTGTGATGGACGATAGTTCTAGTCTCATCCTCGCTGACTTGTTCTGTTGAACAAGAAATGAATTGAAAATTATGGCACAGAATTTTCGCAGCAATGAGAACAGCTGCAAATTCAAGGCAAAAATTTGTTCCAAACAAAGATAAACAGTTGAAGAATACTAAATTGAAGCAGCAGGAAAGTTAGCTGTAATTCCAAGTCCAAAGAAACTTTTTAAACTATCTCCTCTGCTCTTTCTTTATCTCCTGTCTTCCCGCTTTCCAGCTTAATCTACCATTTTTCCCCTTAATGAGCTTTTTGCAACGTTTAAGGCGCTTGTTCATTAAAACGTCTGGAAATTTCACCAAACAAGGCTGAAATGTTGCAAAATTTTAGCAGTTATTTGCAAATGCCAACTCTTTGTTGCTAAATTTTAACTGAGTCCTTTAGGACAACGGAACAATGGGTCTCACTGCAGCAGCAAAATTTCCGATCAAATGAAATAATCTTTTCTGCAACGGCGTGGTTGCTAGTCTATGTTTGTTTCTCCGTTTGACCCTTTTTAGGAAGCTGCCCAACTAACAACAACAGCAACAACAACTAAATAACTCAAAGTCTAAATCATATTTTTGATTTTAATCTTTCCGAATGGTCGGCAAATAGCTGAGTGCACTTTTTTTCAGCACAACATCCGACCATGTGCTGTCGTCCATTGAGAACTAAAAATAAATAATTTTTGGATAAGTAAATAACATCTTCGTCACTGAAGTACAATGCATGAAAACTCTGTTTTTGGCCGAAAAGTGTATTTCAGACAATTGTGTGTATCTGTGTGCCCAAAGAAAAGTGGTTTTAAGCATGATCTGCGAGTTGCTGCAACTCTTGAGCAAACAAATAACTATCTACATTTTTCTATTCATTTTTTCCTTTCATTTCTTTATGAAAATTTTTTTTTGGAAATCAGCTAATTCCGAGGAAGAAAACCGAATATTTTATTTCTTTATTGCAGTTTGACACTGTCATTCACTTTATACGAAAACCCCCGTTTGACAGCTACATATATGTATATTAAATATATA